ATGAGGGGACTTGAGCTGAGGACCAAAGTATAAAAATTGCTCTGTATTTACCCGGCAAGGAAAATGTGCAGAAATAGAGATTTAAGTTCCTGGTTTTGTGAATCTTTTGCTCTGAAGGAATAAAGAAAGAAGTGACGATTAATTGGTCGATCATCACATATCACGAGCTGTGAAACCTTATTCATATAAAATGTATTATTTTAGGCCATAACGTGTCATCATGAGTCATGTGGTCTTGTTTTCCTCGGCAGGGTCCGGCTGGTGGAGCGGGGGTCCCCCCACAGACTGCCGCTCATGGAGTCAGGGAAGGTGGGGGCTCTTTTCTCCTTTTTCCTCCTGGTTCAAACGCTTTGGGAATCTTAACCGCTGACGTTCGCTCTCCGCTCTCAGATCCTGCCGGGAGTTCGGATCATCATCCTCTAACCGGAAACCAAGGGGCCCAATGGGGGGAGTCTCATCTGGGCTAGGTTCGTCCCGCTTGTTATCGTCCTCACACCATGTGACGCGTTCATGGATGCTCCTCCTGCTGGCTTTAGAAAACGCCTTCCACGCCATTCGCCAGGGCCACTGTGATGCCGCTCTGGTGGGGGGGGTCAACCTGCTGCTCAAGCCCAACACCTCCGTGCAGTTCATGAAGCTGGGCATGCTCAGTCCTGGGGGGACCTGCAGGTCCTTTGACGCATCAGGTAACTCGCGTCCTCAGCCGGACCTTTTTACCACGAACCCGTAGCCGCAATCGCACATTGACGGCGTGCTGTGCTCTCATCCCCCCTCGTGGTGTGACGCACCCCTCGTGGCCCCCAGGAGACGGGTACTGCCGCTCGGAGGCTGCAGTGGCGGTGCTGCTCACCAAGCGGGCGGCAGCCAAGCGCGTCTACGCCACCGTGGTCAACGCGGGCAACAACACGGACGGATACAAGGAGCAGGGTGAGGACGCGTCCCCCGCTTCTCTTCTCCCCGTTGGTACACGATGTGCAGCGCTCATGGCTCATGGCGTCCCACGCGAGCAGAGCAGCAGCCCCGTCCTGACGCGGCGCTCTCCGTCCCTCAGGTGTCACGTTCCCTTCAGGCGCGATGCAGCAGAGGCTGGTTCGCGCTCTGTACCAGGAGGCCAACATCTCTCCAGAGCAGGTGGAATATGTGGAGGCCCACGGCACAGGAACCAAGGTCAGTGCTCTCGGCCGGCTCTCCGCGCGGCTCCCTGCGTCACTGACCTCTGACCTTTGGGCTCCTCTGCTCTCTGCGCGCAGGTGGGCGACCCACAGGAAGTCAACGGCATCGTCAGTGTCTTCTGTGAATCGGAGCGGGAGCCTCTACTCATGGGCTCCACCAAGTCCAACATGGGCCACCCCGAACCGGCCTCCGGCCTGGCTGCTGTGGCCAAGGCGAGTGCCGGCTCTGCTCTGATTGGCCGGACTCGGCTCACGTCGAGCTTCAGTTAACTGCTCGTTCCCCGTCCTCAGGTGTTGCTGTCTTTGGAGCGCGGCGTCTGGGCGCCCAACCTGCACTTCAGCTCTCCCAACCCCGACATCCCGGCGCTCCACGACGGGCGGGTCCAGGTCGTCGACCGGCCCCTCCCCGTCCGAGGCGGCATCGTGGGCATCAACTCCTTTGGCTTTGGAGGCTCAAACGTTCACGTGATCCTCCGTCCGGCTGAGCGGCAGACGGGCGCGACCGCGCCCCCCAGGACGGTCCCCAGGCTGCTGCAGGCCTGCGGGCGCACGGAGGCCGGCGTGGAGGCCCTGCTCCAGAAGGGGCAGGAGCACGCCGCAGATGACAGCTTCCTGTCTCTGCTGAATGAGCTTTCAGGAGCCCCCCCTGCAGGCATGCCCTACCGGGGCTACGCTCTCATTGGCTCCCAGAGCGCCGCCAGGGAGGTGCAGCAGGTGCAGGCGCCCGCCAGGCCGCTCTGGTACGTCTGTTCAGGTGAGTCATCACAAGCGTGCACAGGGTGGGCGACTTGGAGGCTCGGCTTCGTTCTCAGGTGTGTGTGTCTCTGTGTGTGTGTGTGTGTGTGTCAGGCATGGGGACCCAGTGGGCCGGTATGGGCCGCAGTCTCATGCAGCTGGCGGACTTCAGAGAGTCCGTCCTGCGGTCGGACGCGGCCCTGAAGGACACCGGCCTGGTCGTGTCCCGCCTGCTGATGGATGCCGATGACGCCACCTTTGAGGACACCGTTCACGCCTTCGTTGGCCTCGCCGCCATACAGGTAGGATGCAGGACGGAGCGCGTGGGCTCAGCTCGCTGTGGTAGATTCTCTTTTTGCATATTTATAACTTAAATGATTTCTGTGTGGAAAAAGGTTTGTAAAATGACCTTTTCAGGTCCAGGTGTGTGTTCATATTATTTTTCCCTTAATAAATCACTATATTTACTCGGCCTAATACGTTTATAAGAGTCCGCCTGAGGGAGGGATGCTGATCCGTATCGGCCTGTGAGGGGCGCCATCGTGCGTCTGAACCAATGAGCGCATTAGGGGGCGGGCCTTAGACGCCGTTCACTGAAACCGGGTTTTTCTTCTTTATTCTTCTGACTTTAAATGAAGTAGATCCAGCTGAGGACTGAACGTAGATCATTAGAGGTTCCTGTTGTCCAGCGTTGGTACCCTGACACTGAACGATGGCTTTGCTTCAACGTGTGTGTGCGAGGGATGACGGCGTTTACCGCCCTTCTACTTATTCATGTCCATGTGTGAACCTGTGCATTCTGACCCTGGAGGCCTTGTTGCAGAGGGTCCGGCCTGGTGACGCCGGCGTGTCTGACTAACCGTGTGTGTGCCGGCTCGTTGCAGATCGCGCAGATCGACCTGCTCACCAAGCTGGGTCTGCGGCCCGACGGCATCGTGGGCCACTCGGTGGGGGAGCTGGCCTGCGGCTACGCCGACGGCTCCCTCAGCCACGCCGAGGCCGTCCTGGCCGCCTACTGGAGAGGCCGCTGCATCAAGGAGGCCAATCTCCCCCCAGGGGGCATGGCCGCCGTCGGTAAGCGCGGCTGCTAGCAGCAGGAGGTGTTGGCTAACGCTAGCTGGCCGAGGCTCCGCCCTGTGGACTGTAATGAGCGTTTCCTCCGCAGGGCTGACCTGGGAGGAGTGCACGGCTCAGTGTCCCGTGGGAGTGGTCCCGGCCTGCCACAACTCTGAGGACACCGTCACCATCTCCGGGCCTCAGGTGCAGCCGTCTGTCACACAGCGATACACGCGTCTCATTCTGCTGTAGAGGCGTCGTGATGTCGTCAGGCTGGTGTTGATCTGACGCGTCTTTCATCAGGAAGCGATCTCCACCTACGTGTCCAAGCTGAAGGAGCAGGGAGTGTTCGCCAAGGAGGTGCGCAGCGCTGGCGTGGCCTTCCACTCCCACTACATGGCCTCCATCGCGCCGACCCTGCTGGCCGCCCTGAAGAAGGTACCGAGCTCGCCGCCCCCCGCCTGCTGTAGGAACAGGAACTCTGCTCAGCCTGTGGTCACGGTCGTCATGGTGTCTGCAGGTGATCAAGGAGCCCCGCCTGCGGTCCCCCCGCTGGGTGAGCACCAGCATCCCTCAGTCCCAGTGGGACTCCCCCCTGGCCCGGTACAGCTCGGCCGACTACCACGTCAACAACCTGGTGAGCCCGGTGCTGTTCCACGAGGGCCTGGGCCTGGTGCCTGACAACGCCGTGGTGCTGGAGATCGCTCCTCATGCGCTGCTGCAGGTACACCTTGCGTGTGTCATTTCATTTCGTCATATTCGGATTGTTACTCTGAGCATTTAGGCCCGAGAATCAGCTTCTGCTGGACCGGTTCACAGGCCATCCTGAAGCGGAGCTTGAAGCACACCTGCTCCATCGTGCCCTTGATGAAGAGGAGCCACACCAACAACCTCGAGTTCTTCCTCTCGAACATCGGCAAAGTCTACATGAGCGGGTGAGTGGATCTGCTGCTCGCTGTGGCTGTGGCTCCTGGCAGCGCAGAGCGATCACATGTGTATGTCCTCAGCGTCGGCGTGGACGGGAACGGGCTCTGCCCCGCGGCCACGTACCCCGTGCCGGTCGGGACCCCGCTGATCTCCCCCCTGCTGCAGTGGGACCACGCGCAGACCTGGGATGTCCCCAAAGCAGAGGACTTCTCCGGGGGCTCGGCGGGACCCAACTCTGCGACCGTCTACAACATCGGTGAGGAAGAGACGCTGGCAGGAGACAGTCGTCCGTTTGTCCCCCCGTGTCGCATTAACTCTCATTTGTCCCACAGAAATGAACCCAGAGTCCTCCGACTACTACCTGATTGGCCACTGCATCGATGGGCGTGTCCTGTATCCGGCGACGGGCTACCTGGTGCTGGCCTGGCGCACCTTGGTGAGGAGTCTGGGGGCGGTCATGGACAGCACGCCCATAGCCTTTGAGGACGTCACCATTCACAGGGCCACCATCCTGCCAAAGAGCGGTGAGCGGCGGGCCGGGGGGCCGGGGGCCGAGGGGCCGGGGGGGGACTCCCTCTGATGACTGTCTGTCTCTCCTCAGGCTCGGTCCAGCTGAAGGTGCACCTCATGCCGGCCACCAACCGCTTTGAGGTTTCAGAGAACGGGAACCTGGCTGTGAGCGGTGAGTGGCTGCTGCTGCCTGTGACTCCACGCTGGAAAAGGCTCCGCTCACCGCCGTCCTTCTCACCTTGTTCCCCGTGTGGCCTTCAGGCAAGGTGAGCGTCCTGGAGGACGCAGCGCTCGATTCCTTCCACGGTCAGATAGGCCGGCCGGCTGGCGACAGCGCCGAGGACCCCAGCATGAAACTCAGCACGCACGACATCTACAAAGAGCTGCGACTGCGCGGCTACGACTATGGGAAGACCTTCCAAGGCATCCTGGAGTCCAACAATGCAGGTGCGTGTGCTGGTCTCTGGACTGCTGTTGGCTAATAGATACGAGACAGAGCCGATACCTCATGTGGTTATCTGCAGGAGACCGAGGCAAGCTGCAGTGGGCGGGGAACTGGGTGACCTTCCTGGACACCATGCTGCAGATGATCGTGGTCGGGCTGCCGGGTCGCAGTCTGCGTCTGCCAACCAGGATCCGCTCTGTGTGTGTAGATCCAGCTGTGCACCTGCAGAAGGTCTGCCAGCACACTGATGGGAAGCAAGGTGTGTGTGTGTGTGTGTGTGTGTGTGTGTCTCTGCGTGTGTGTCTCTGTCTCTGTGTGTGTGTTCACACTCCTCTCTCTCCTCCCCAGCTGTGGATGTGCACGTGAACCGCTGCCTCGACAGCATTGCTGCTGGCGGAGTCCAGATGTGCGGTCTTCACGCCACTGTGGCCCCCCGTCGGCAGCAGCAGCAGAGCCCCCCCACGCTGGAGGAGTTTGTGTTTGTTCCTCATGTGGACGCTGACTGCCTGAGGGACGACGTGACCCTCGCCGAGCAGCTGAGGCTCTGTAAAGGTGCAGCAGTCTGACTTCCTGCTGCTGTTTGACACATTTACTGCAATCGTTTAGTTTAAAAATGACTTTTCATTTTGACGTCTAATCACATCTTTGTCCGACTGTCCCCATCCAGGTTTGACCAAAAGACTGCAGAAGAAGTTGTCCTCCCACGGGGTCAAGCTGTCCCTCCCTGGACTACAGGGGGAGTCTGAGCGGCCGCTGCCCAGCCCCGAGCCCTCGCAGCCCGGCCTGGTGCGCCTGCTGGCCCTGCTGTGCAGCCTGGAGCTCAACGGAAACCTGCAGTCGGAGCTGGAACAGACGGTTGAGAAGGAGAGGACGTGTCTGCTGCAGGACGGCCTGCTGCAGGGCCTGCTGGACAGCCCGGCCCTGAGACACTGCCTGGACACCACCCTAGAAAACAGCACACCGGGCAAGATCAAGATCCTGGAGGTAAGACGGAAAACCAGATTCCACCAACGGTGAGTCCCAGAACATCTAGTGTCCAACCTTCTCCCCTGTGACGGCCACCAGGCTCTCTCCAGCGAGGGCCGGCTCTTCCCCCGCGTGGCGGCGCTGCTCGGCATCCAGCCCATGCTGCGCGTGGACTACACCGCCACGGCGCCCAGCCTGGACCTTCTGGCCCCTCACCAGGCCGCCCTGGAGCAGCTGGCCATCTCGTCCGCTCAGTGGGACCCGGCGGGGGGGCCGGCTCCTGGAGGCGCGGTGGAGGGCGCGGACCTTGTGGCGTGTAACCACGCCTGGGGCCCTCTGAGGGCGGAGCCCGAGCTCCTGATGGCCAATCTGGCTTCTGGAGCCAAAAAAGGGGGCTTTGTTCTCCTGCACACGCTGCTCAAGGGAGAGACGCTGGGGGAGACCGTTGCCTTCCTCTCCAGCAGCACGGCGAGCAGCGGCCAGCGAGGGCTGCTCACCCAGGTCGGTGGAGACGGCGTCCACGTCCCCGGTACCTTTAACGCCAGGTGCTGACACGTCCTCCTCTGCTTCGCAGGCCGAGTGGGAGAAGGTGTTCTCAGAAGCCTCCCTCAACCTGGTGGCCGTCAGGAAGTCCTTCTATGGCTCCGCCCTCTTTCTGTGCCGCCGCCGCCAGTCTCCAAGCAAGCGGCCTGCTTTCCTTCCTGTGGACGGCGCCGACTACCAGTGGGTGGAGACGCTGAAGGTGGGTTCTAACCTTCCCGTTGTCCAGCAGGACCCTGAGTCATCGCTCATAACCGCGTGGTTCTGTGCTGCAGGAGAAGATGGCGGCGTCGCCCGACTGTCCCGTGTGGTTGACGGCCTCCAAGTCCCACTGCGGCATTGTGGGGATGGTCAATTGTCTACGGCAGGAGCCAGGTGGCAACCGAATACGGTAGGACACGTCCTCCGCCAGCAAACCCAATGCAGCTCAGTCCAATGTCACGCCGCTCTTTGCTCTGGCGCCGGACTGCGGAGTATCGATCCCCCAGTGAGCCTCTGTGTGCTCTTCAACAGCTGTGCGTTTGTGTCCAATCTAAACGCGTCTTCGTCAGCACCGACCCTCCAGCCGGCCCACGAGTCCATGCAGTCGGTGCTGGACGGGGACCTGGTCATGAACGTGTTCCGGGACGGACGCTGGGGCGTCTTCAGGCATCAGCTCATCGCTCAAGGTCCCTCATTCTCATTCTGTCAGCGCTGTGGAACAGTGGGTCTCTCTCTGTGTACCCGGGTCGACTTGGTTTACAGAAGGTCCGTCCAGAGGAGCCGGATGTGTCCCACCTCCCCTCATCCTGTCGTGCTCCTCAGATCTGAACGAGGAGCTGACGGAGCAGGCCTACGTCAACGTGTTGACTCGAGGCGACCTCTCGTCTCTGCGCTGGATCGCCTCCCCGCTGCGCCACTTTGTGACCAGCAGCCCCGACGTGCAGCTGTGCCGCGTCTACTACAGCTCGCTCAACTTCCGAGACGTGATGCTGGCCACCGGCAAGCTGCCGCCCGACGCCATTCCAGGTGGGTGGAGACCTGCAGCAGGAAGTCGCCTCTGCTCACAGAGAAATGACACGTGCTGCTCTGCGTGTTTAGGGGACCTGGCTCTGCAGCAGTGCATGTTGGGTATGGAGTTCTCGGGCCGTGACCCCGCGGGTCAGCGTGTGATGGGGCTGCTGCCTGCCAGAGGCCTGGCGACGAGCGTCGACGCTGACAAGCGCTTCCTGTGGGCCGTCCCCTCCAGCTGGTCAGTGCCGCATGGGTCAACCTGCCGTGGTACTCGGGGGGGGGGTCTCCCAGCAGCTGATGTGTGTGTGTGTGTGTGTGTGTGTGTGTGTAGGACCCTGGAGCAGGCGGCCTCGGTGCCGGTGGTCTACGCCACGGCCTACTACTCCCTGGTGGTGCGCGGCAGGCTCCGCCCCGGAGAGACTGTTCTCATCCACTCAGGGTCGGGGGGCGTCGGCCAGGCTGCCATCGCCATCGCACTCAGCCAGGACTGTAAAGTCTTCACCACTGTCGGTGCGTATGGCGCCATCTCACGTTCCCCTCACGGAAATGTGAGCAGTATCTAAGACGCTGATGACCTTTGACCTTCCCTCCCAAGGCTCGGCGGAGAAGCGGGCCTACCTCCAGGAGAGGTTCCCCCGGCTCTCAGCAGAGTCCTTCGCCAACTCCAGAGACTCGTCTTTTGAACAGCACGTCCTGCTCCACACAAAGGGCAAAGGTCAGAGCGGGCTCGCTGCACGGTGTTTTAGTTTGGCGAACAAGCGGTCACTCTACCTGTGTTTCAGGCGTGGACGTGGTGCTGAACTCTCTGGCCGAGGAGAAGCTACATGCTAGCATTCGCTGCCTGGCCCGACACGGACGCTTCCTGGAGATCGGCAAATTTGACCTGTCCAACAACTCCCCCCTGGGTGAGCAGGACACGCACACCGTGTCATCACGCTGTCACTGACCTGTAGAACTACACGTTCCTCCATACATCAGGACAAATCTCCCTGGCGTTTTAATGGTTTCAGAGAATCAGAAATGGGAGAATAGTTTCTGGGTAAAATATTTCTATTTCCCATCAAGTAAATGAAATGAAATTCATTTTATTTTGTACAGCCCAAAATTACAAATTAGCCTCAGAGGGCTTTACAGTCTGTACACATACGACATCCTCTGTCCCGAAACCTCCATCGGCACAGGAAACACTCCCCCCAAAGATAAAACCCTTCCATGGGGAAAAGGGAAGAAACCTCAGGGCTCGACGGAGCTGTGACTCTGTCAGTCGGCTGCAGCGCTGAAGAGAAACCTGGAGTTGTTTTTATTTTTCTCTATTAATGATGAGTAATAAGATTCTTCTTATATCTTTTAAGGCTGTCTTGCCAAACTAGCCTAGATCCTTCTGATTTGGTGGAATGCCATAATCATTCAGGGTTCCGCACAGTTTGCTTTAGGTTACGTGTTTGAGGGTTATACCACGGAGCAGACTTCCTTCTTGTTGCTATTCTTCTTTCCAGAGAAGCAATAGCGTCCAGCGCCACTCTCAAAGAGCCTGTATCAGCATCAACAAGATGATCCATCTGGGACGGACTGAGGTTCTCACAGGAGTCTTCTTGTATCTTGAGGCAGGGCACTGAACTTAGAGCAGAAGGAATGGCTTCTTTAAATAAGGCTACAGCGGTATCCGATAAGCGTCGACTGTAGAAACCTTTGGCAGGAGGAGGTGGTTCTGATAGTAGAAATTCAAAGGTTATCAGACAATGGTCCGACAGGAGAGGGTTCTGTGGAAAATTTGTTAAATGTTCAATCTCAATCCCATACACAAGAACCAAGTCGAGAGTGTGGTTAAAACAGTGAGTTGGTTTATTTACACACTGACAGAAACCAATTGAATCTAACAATGAAAGAAATGCAGTACTAAGGCTGTCGTTGTCGACATCCACATGAATGTTAAAGTCACCCATAATAATGACCTTGTCCGTTTTAAGGACCAAACTCGTTAAGAACTGTGAAAATTCAGAAAGAAATTCTGAATAAGGACCTGGGGCCCTGTACACTATTACAAAGAGAACCGGCTGGATTATTTTCCAGGTTGGTTGCGAAAGACTGAAAACCAGGCTTTCAAATGAGTTATAATCCACCTTAGGTTTAAAGTTTATTAAAAGGCAGGAGTCATAAATAGCTGCCACTCCCCCCCCTCGGCCTGTGCCTCGGGGAATATGAGTATTAACATGACTCGGAGGAGTCGCTTCATTTAAACAGAAATATTCCCCATTCAACAACCACGTCTCAGTAAGACAAAATACATCAACATGGTGATCTGATATTAGTTCATTTACCAAAACAGCTTTAGATGACAGAGATCTGATATTCAAAAGACCCCCTTTAATTCTCCTATTTTGTTGCACTATTGCATTATTAGTTTTAACTTTAATTAAGTTATTTACTATAACTCCTCGGTTGTTTACCTTTAACTTAGATAAGTGTGTCCGTGGAGCAGACAAGGTCTCTATAGGGTTCATTATGCTGAGTGACTGCTCAGATTGAAGCGCAGAGAAGTGTGTAAGACTGCGACTCTGCTCCCTGGTCTGAACTCTGGCTCATGGATCAAGTCCACTAAGAAACTGGGTCAGGTTCTTAGAAAGAAGTTCAGCTCCGTCCAAAGTGGGATGGATGCCGTCCCTCCTAATCAGACCAGGCTCTCCCCAAAACGTCTCCCAGTGATCAATTCATTAATTAATACACATTGACGTACAAGTTTTTCCCCTTTTCTGGTTTCTTTTATGTTGTACATTTGTCACACTGTAAATATAAAATACATTTTTTTTAATGATGCATTTATTAAGGGAAAATAATATGCAAACCCACCAGGCCCCATGTGAAAAAGTTACTGCCATTTCTCAGGCCACAGAACTGCAGGCCTGAGTTCAGGTCAAAGGTCATGACTCACCATCGAGACGCGACGGGTTACATGGCGTCCATGAGAGAAACGTCCCGTCACAGTGATGAAGAGTTCGTTTCCTCATCAGAGGCACAAGCAGCTACTGGGTCACGTTACTTTGTCACACATTCTCTCCCTTGTTAAGAAATCATCATTATCTTTATCCAATATTCACACTTCGTTTGACCCGGAACCTGCAAAGAAATCAGAAACCGTGGCGGGGCAAATGTTACCAACGCCGGGCCCCCTCGCCGTGATGTCCCGTATGACCGGAGGAAAAGCGCGTTGCCAACGACCGCTGTCTGATCTCTGCAGGCATGGCTCTGTTCCTGAAGAACGTGGCCTTCCACGGCATCTTGCTGGACGCTCTCTTTGAAGAGGGCAACCGGGAGTGGGAGGAAGTGTCCCAGCTGCTGAAGCAAGGCATTGTGGGAGGTGTAGTCCAGCCGCTGAAGACCACGGTGTTTGAGAGGGACCAGGTGGAGGAAGCGTTCAGATACATGGCTCAGGGCAAACACATTGGAAAGGTTCTCCTGCAGGTCAGACTGATAATAACTCCATGAAGTCTCCACGTTGCTCCATGTTACTGTGACTACAGCACGTCTCTTCTCGCAGGTTTGTCACGAGGAGAGCGGTTCCTCGGCCCAAACTGCTCCCACAAAGTCTTTTCTGGCCATCTGCCGCACCTTCTGCCCCCCCTCCCACGCCTACATCATCACCGGGGGCCTGGGGGGCTTCGGCCTGGAGCTGGCTCAGTGGCTGACCGAGAGAGGAGCCCGCAAACTAGTGCTCACCTCCAGGTCGGGCATCAAGAACGGTAAGGAGCCCGATGTCTCTGAGTGCTTCTACACATTGGGTGGAGGCTTTATTTCTATTCCTCCTCCATCTATTCTAATCCCGTTGCTTTATCTGGAAAGGCTCCGGACCATTGTGACTATGTTAGAATGAGACGGGTGAATCTAGTAATGAATCCACTACAATCCTTAGAGACAGAACTAAAGCTGGTGAGTCCCCTTTGGACGGTGTAGCAGGCCGAAGGAGGAGCTGGTATCATAGGTGGTATCCGTCGGCCTCATGCACGCCACAGCTGGTTTGTATGCGTCCTTCCCCTGCGGAGTCTACGGACCACTTGGGGATCAGGGAGAAGCTAGTGGCTCGTGTGAGTGTTCCTCCAGTGTGCTGCAGCTCTACAGGTTGTCCTTGTGTAATCGTTGCCAGGTTACCAGGCGAAGCGAGTGCGTGAATGGCGGAGTCGAGATGTGGAGGTGCTGGTGTCGACCAATGATGTCAGCACGCTGGGGGGAACGCAGCGACTCATCGCCGAGGCCAGCTCCCTGGGCCCAGTGGGCGGGGTCTTCCACCTCGCCATGGTAACGCATCATCAGTCCCACCCAGGCAGTAAAAATCAGAATCCATGTCCAACTGTGACGGCTAAAGGAGCAGCTAGCTCACCGTTAGCTTGTAGCGTAGCTTCATGGATGCTGTCCTCTTCCATCTGCCAGCTACACGCATTGAACATCCGTGTGCTAAACTGCTAAAGCTTAGTTAAGATCAAAGCCCTTCTCCGTATCCAAATAACACCTTTAAACTCAGCCACCGCACCAGCTAGCTAGCATGGAGCCACCGCGCCAGCTAGCTAGCTAGCATGGAGCCACCGCGCCAGCTAGCTAGCTAGCATGGAGCCACCGCGCCAGCTAGCTAGCTAGCATGGAGCCACCGCGCCAGCTAGCATGCTATGGTGGCTCCGTGTCGCTGCACCACGTTGGCGACGGACTGATCTCCGTTACGTGCAGGGGGCTGTCCACGAGGGGGAAACATGCTTTATTTCATATAGTCCTGTTCACGTCCTGCCCGCCCCCTTCCAGTGCGTTACTGATTTGACTGACTCCACCGTATGTGTCCGTCTGCTGCGTTGCCAGGTGTTGAAAGACGGCATGCTGGAGAATCTGACTCCTCAGCTCTTCCTGGACGTAAACAAGCCTAAATACGACGGCACCGTGAACCTGGACAAGTAAGACCAGCGCGGCCGTCCTCCCTTTGACCCGCGGCCCCTGAGTGAAGGTGCTGACGCTCATGTCCTCCCCCACAGAGCTACCAGAGACTCGTGTCCCGACCTCTGCCATTTCGTGGCCTTCTCCTCGGTCAGCTGTGGCCGCGGCAACGCCGGCCAGAGTAACTACGGTTACGCCAACTCCGCCATGGAGCGCGTGTGTGAGCAGCGCCGCCACGACGGCCTCCCTGGACTGGCAGTGCAGTGGGGGGCCATAGGCGACGTGGGCGTGGTGCTGGAGACCATGGGCGGCAACGACGCCGTGATTGGCGGCACCCTCCCACAGCGCATCGCCTCCTGCCTGGAGGTGCTGGACCGCTTCCTCTGCCAGCGGCGGCCGGTGATGTCCAGCTTCGTTCTGGCAGAGAGGGCGGCGGCGAAGAGCGAGGCGGGGAGCCGCCGGGACCTGGTGGACGCCGTGGCTCACATCCTCGGTAAGCTCCACCAATGGAAGTGTGACGTGGCTGATCTGTAGGTCACCAAGCAGCAGGACGGCCGCTGTGAGTAGATTAGTAACGTAAACGTGGTGCTTGTATTCATGCTGACTGACGGAAGGTCGGACATGTTTGTTTCATAAGCGCCGCCGCCCCTCCCTTAAAATACGGAGTCGTCCCGTATTTGAGAATCAAATCAAATCCAATGCAAATAATCCCATCCTATTCGGCCCCTGATTGGTTGATACTCGCCGCCATCGTTGGTTTGAAGCAAACCAGTCAGAGGAGGGCGGGTGTCATGGCGGAGGCAGCTCCTCATACCCCCCCGCGTCCAGATCGCCCCTCATTTTTCTGCCCTAAAGGTGGGCGCCCTAGTTTGTGGAGGGAGTCCCGCTCACCGCGCTCTTCTCTCCCAGGCGTGCGGGACGTCAGCAGCCTGAACGCGGACGCCTCCTTGGCCGACCTCGGCCTGGACTCCTTGATGGGCGTCGAGGTTCGGCAGACGCTGGAGCGCGACTACGACATCGTCATGGCCATGAGGGACATCCGGCAGGTCACCATCAACAAGCTGCGCGAGCTGGCCAGCAGCAAGCCCGGCGGCCCGGACGGTACGATTCCTCCAGGACTCCCAGCGGGAAGCCGCTCTTCAAACGGACCCAATGATATTCTTCTCTTTGTATCCAGAAGGTCAAAGTGCAGCGGCGAAGGGGAGCGGCGTCCGCTCGTCGCTGGAGTCTGATCTCAGCCTCCTGTTGGTCGACCCCAGCAGCCCCACAGTGGCGCCGCTCAACCACGTCCAGAGCCAGGAGAGGCCTCTCTTCCTGGTCCATCCCATCGAGGGCTCCGTCTCCGCCTTCAGGACTCTGGCCTCCCGGCTGAGCGTGCCGTGCTACGGCCTGCAGTGCACGCAGGGTAACGCTCGCCACAACCGCTGCACGTGCCACATCACCAACCATGTGATCATCTAATGAGCCTCCTGTCGCCCCCCAGCTGCCCCCCTGGAGAGCATCCAGGCCCTGGCAGCCTACTACGTGGGCTGCGTGAGGCAGGTGCAGCCGGTCGGGCCCTATCGCATCGCCGGCTACTCCTTTGGGGCCTGCGTGGCCTTCGAGCTGTGCGCCCAGCTGCAGAGCCACAATCTGCCCGTGGAGAACCTCTTCCTGCTCGACGGCTCCCACTCGTATGTGGCCGCGTACACACAGGTGAGAGCGCGCGCACGCCGCCACGCCGACTCCAGTGGCTCATGCCGACTCCCCGCTTGTTTCTCCAGAGCTACCGGGCCAAGCTGACACCAGGCAACGAGTGCGAGGCGGAGACCGAGGCGCTGTGTGCCTTCGTCCAGCAGTTCACCAGCATCGCGTACAACAAGGTACTCGCAGTGCTGCCACAATGACCCGCTGGCTGGCTAGCTAGCTAGCTAGCTTTAATCTCTGAGGACCACCTGTGAGGAAGAGTTCAGATGCTGATCAAACAACATCTTTTCATTGGCTCAGATCAGAATCTACAAATGATTAATTACTATGAGACTGTGGCCCGTTCAAATCAGTCCCCGCGTGATCACGCGTGTGGAGTTTGTGTTAAATACTATTAAATTAGTTCATTTTAATCGGCCTGAGTTATTACACATCACCTCTATCGTCAGAAGGCTCCTGCATCCCGGAGCATGAGCGACACGTCTCGTCCTCACGTGTACGTTGTGTCCCTCTGCAGCTCCTGGAGACTCTCCTCCCGCTGCCCGACCTCGAGGCCCGGGTCAACGCCGCGGTGGACCTCATCGCCTCCAGCCACAAGAACATCAGCCGGGACTCGCTGCACTTTGCAGCCACCACCTTCTACTACAAGCTGAAGGCCGCTGACTGCTACGTGCCGGCGTCCAAGCTGCACGGCAGCGTGGCGCTACTGCGCGCCAACACCAGCAGCGACTACGAGCGGAGCCTGGGAGCCGACTACAAGCTCAGCGAGGTAACATCTGTAGTAGGATGAAGTCACAGCTGTACGAACCCTAAGTAGACCTTCATCAATGGACGGATCAACAGGATGCACACGATACACAAGTGTTTCATCTTAAGATAAACACTTATTAATCATTCAAATATCACACACACTCCTCTGTTTTTACTGTTGCACAGCCCCCCCCCCCCCCTTACAAGACTGTAATCTGTTTCATCAGGTCTGCGATGGCGACCTGTCGGTCCACGTCATTGAGGGGGACCACCACTCCTTCCTGGAAGGGGAGGGGGCGGAGTCCATCTGCAGCATCATCCACAGCTCATTGGCTGGGCTCGGTGCGAGGGCGAGCTAGAGGGCAGCTGACCATCGGACTGATACCACGTTGTTCTACAGCCCCTTCCCCCGTGTCCCAAACGCACCTTACTGCACCCGTCGCTTCTGATTTAGTTCTAATCGTCCGTTCCAGCAGCTGTCACAGCTTCTGTGTGCTGAAGGACACGTATGTTACATTCCGCCGTGTTTTGAATTATAACAGGGATTCATTTTGAAGCAGAAATCTCTCCACCCAACAGTCCATTTTAGCCCCACGATTCATTAATAATTAACACTGTTCACATTCAGAATATGGAAAATACCAGTAAAACATCTGCATTATGAATCTCCCCTTAATGAGCTGCCGGTGCACGTTCCCTGCTAACAAAGCTAGCTCGCCCCCTGAGCGCTAATGGGCTCCGTGTCAGGCAGCATGAACAGAGGTCACAGAGGTCACAGAGGTCTGTGGGGCCGCTGGAAGTCATCGCGCACTCAGCAAGATGCTACGCGAGTAGCTCTGCAGACCTTCGCAGGGAGACGAGCACTGCAACTCAAACCAAGAGGAGCAGAAGGGCCATTCGAGGCTGACTAACAGCTGGAAGAGGTCGACAAACTCCTTCAATCGGCTGCAGAGGATCGTACCAGCCGCCTGCCGTCTGGACTGTAATAGTCTTACAAAGCGTGTCCCACCTGTAGCGTGTAGCATAGCATAGCATAGCTAACTCAAGTTCAGCAGTGTACAAACAGGCAGCTGTTGGACACAACAGTCCACTAACCTCTATGTTAACTGACACGTTCATGTCCTTTACCACCAAAAGCTGCACACGCACACACACACACACACACACATGAATGCTGAGCGAGCACGAATGCATTAGTTGACCTGACCGCATTGGTAATCAGTTTTATTTTAATCAAATATTTATTATTGGCTTATTTTGTGGCAAATAACTGTTGGGGGAGAATCCCTGGATGTTTTATATATTTTGTCCCGCTGGCGTCAAACTAAAAGTCGGTTATTTGGATTCATGTGTTGGTTTTCACCATGAAGTAATGTTACAGAATGACCTCGACAGGCCACAGGGGTTTATAAAATAGATGTTTACAAGGGGATTCTTTTTATTTTGAAGTTCCCCTATTTCCTAAAATGCCGTGATACTAATGAAATTAAAAATGTTAATGTTGTTATATGGCACCAACTTTCCTACAGAGGAAGATGTTTCATTTAGTCCGGTTCACTGTGTTCACGGTCCTTATGGGTCGGATTCCATGTCATGTGACGGGCCAAAGAGGCCACGCCCATTCCTCCCAGCAGGTTGGTTTGTTTGCTGCAGGGTGCTGTGAGGGGCGACCTGGTGACCGGCACCGTGCTGTCTCCTATCCTCACTTCCTCCCCAGAATCCACCTTTGAGTTGTGACTGAGCACCAAGTGTCACTGATGGAGCGGCCTCTGACTCCGAAGACCCTCACCACAGCAGCCCCCCAGGCCCTGCAGCCTGAGACCTTCCCGTGGTCTATGACGGGGGGCCTGCAGGCTGCTCGTGGTGAGCAGGAGAAGGAAGGGGCCGCATCGAGTTCTTATGTCCAGTATTGTTGTTCATGACTAATAAAGGTGTTCTGCTGATCCCTTCATTCTGACTTGTGTCAATTATTAAAAGATCACAAAATAAAAATACAAATAAACGCCACCGCAAGAAGAAAAACGACTTTGGGAAGACACAACTGTGATGGCGAAGAGGAATACGTGTAGTTTAGTTCTAATTACTAGGAAAAGGATTTGGCATCGTTGATTGTGCAACACACAAACCTCAGGTTTATTTTACCAGAGCGTCCATTCAAATATATTCGGACAGACTACATTTATTTCATGCAACCATTCAATTAGTTTGGTTAAACGTTCTTTTATGTTTCCTTTTACCCTCCGTATGAACCGGAGGGGAATAAAGAGTCTCTGCTCTCAGAGAAGCACGTTGTGTCTAAATTGAGAATTTGAATACATAACACATGAGTATGTTTCATATCCACAATGTCCTAAAGGTGACTTAAGAAAATAGGTGTTTTCCGTTCATACCACCAGGAGGCAGCATTCCTTTTCTAACCTGCAGCCCTAACAGGAGAAACAAAGGGGAACAGCTGGATGTGGAGCATCAATCACAACGCAGATGTGATTCCAATCTTCTTTATTGGGTTGTGATTATAGTAATTTTATATATATATATATATATATATATATATATAGTAATTATGTTTGTGTGGATCCACAAGAAAATATCAGCACACTGCCAACAGGAGTAGAGAACAGTAACTCTCTCTCGAGGGGGTGAGTGTGGGGACGGGTGAGGCCCAGCCGGTTGGTCAGGGGGGTGAGGGAGTGAGAGGCCCAGCCGGTCGGTCGGCTCCACGACTCCAGGCCCCGCTCCTCGATTGCGGCCCCCTCCCCCCCATCCCGTGGTCCTCTCCCGCCCTCCCCTTGGTGATTTGAGGGCCGTCTGGGATCCGGCTCTGGGGGGGGGGCTATGGCGGGGGCTGAGCCTCCGACTCCGGAGGTCTCGGGTGCCATGCAGCCAGCGTCTTCACGCGCCCCCCGGCCAAGCGACGGACCGCCGGTCCAACCTCCGGACGCCCCCCGGGCCAAGCGACAGACCGACCCCTGCAGGCTCCCCGCCCGCCGGGCCCCCCGCCGGAGTCCCCCGGGTGGCCTGACCTTCGTCCCTATTTTGCCTCCCTCCCGCCCCTTGTCTGTTCCTTGTCAGGTTAGGAATTTGGCGAGCGCTGTCACAGTTTGGGTTCATGTCTGGGTTTATTTCGTAGTTTCTTGCCTCTGTTCTCCCTGTCACGTCACTTCCTGCCTTGTCCTGTCGTCCCCTGTGATTGTCTGTCATGTCATGATTGTTTCCAGCTGTTTCCAATCACCTGCACCTCCCTAGCGTGTTTAAGCCACGTGTGTCTGTTGTCACTTCGCGTCATTACTAATTGTTGGGGGTCCGAAGCGCATGCCATGCTCATGTTTTTGATTTTGATCTTGTCCTTGTCACAGTTTTCTGACCAAGTTTTTGGAAGTTTTGACTATTAAAGTCCCTTTTTGTTTCCTGAAAGAACTCTGCGTCTGAGTCCTACCTCCCCTCTCCCCTCGCACGGATACCGTCCTGACAGAATGACGCCAACTTCCAACGACCCAGTGCCGTTTGTGCCATCCTCCGATCTCCTGGTCTTCAGGCGGGGGATCGTACTGGGACCGGTTGATGGACCTCGAGGTCCAACACCAGGCTTCCCAAGGCCTCCACGCTGGGCCGCAGCGACCCCCTGACCTTACCCCGGTCCCGGCCCCAGGACTTTATGGCCCGACCCCGGTTCCGGCCCCAGGACTCCAGGACCCGACCCCGTCTCCACGACTCCAGGCCCCGACCCCGCCGGTTCCGGCCCCACTGCGTCTTGAGTCCTACCTTCCCTCTCCCCTCGCACGGATACCGCCCTGACAGAACTACTGATTAAAACAGGCCCTGGTACACCTGCTTGGCCAACAAGTCATAAACATGGAGGACAATTTGACTAATTATAGACAATAGATGGCGATTTCGACCACTTTATCGACGGTCTCCGGCTCATTCCAGAGATCTCCAAGACAGCGGTAGCTATCAACCCGGCTACGCCGACCGGAAATGCTCACAAGAGACCGTAAACAAAGGCGGGGGAAGCGAGGAGGGCTACGAGCTAGGCTAAAGCTAACTCCTCACCGGCTTTCTCTACCCAGCATTTCCCTCGCCAATGTTCGGTCTCTGGCGAACAAAATTTTTACCGGGGGCCGCATGAGCAACCCGAGCACTGCTGGAGGGCCACATCGACAATATTTCAATTCAATTTTGCTCAATATTATTTTTGATATACCGTAAGATAAAAAATGTAATGTAATTTAACCTAACCTTTGTACAAAAGCAGATTGCTTTTGATGATTTTACATTAAGGGGGTAGCCTAATATATATATTTAAGGATTATGTGAAATTGAAATAAGAAAACAATCATTGAATCACTGCAATTTATTTTTAACTTGTCACTTTAACTTTGTTCCACAAACAAGGAAAAACAACAAACAACTTAACACGTTTATAGAAATACTGCAATACAACAAACAATAACTTATGTTTTCCACCTCGTTTTACCTCTTCAGTGCGAATAATCCAGCCTGTTCTGGGCTTGAACAAGGGCATTGAAATCTGGCTGCAGGTCAATGAGCTCCATCTGAACATCGCTTGGTGCATTGTCCACACTGCAGTTGAAGGGAGAAGAAACCATGTGCATGCCTCAAACTCTCCATGGAGTGCTTCAAACTTGCTTGAGTACTTGTGGAGGTGATCGGCTGATCTTGTGGCTTCCTTTAGTGTTGGCAAGTGGGTCAGAATGTTGTCCTTCACTTGGCTTGAGAGAAGCTGCAACTTTCTCATGAAAGCCGTCACTGCACTGTACATCTCATGCACAAAAAGGCCCTTGCACTGCAGTTTGACATGCAGTCCGTTCGTGAGTGCAGTCACATCCACAGAGAATCCGAGGTCTTCATCTGAAAGTTCTGGGATGACATGTCCTTTCTTCTTACAGAAATTCTGAATCTGGTCTCTCAGGTTCCAGACACTTTTCAGGACTTTGCCAGGCTGAGCCACCTGACGTTGCTGTGGTAGCTTATGTCACAATGTTCACGCTCATTTTCCTCAAAGTGCAACAAATTGTCTATGATTTAACGCTCTTGCTCTGATAAAGTTAACTGTTTTAGTTACAGCATCAACAACATGGTTAATTTTTAACACTGTCTTACACAACAGTTCCTGATGTATAATACAATGCAAAAATGTCAATTTTTGCACAAGGTTAATTTCTGTCACTTTATCCTGCATCCTCTTCAAAAGTCCAACATTTTCCCCCGTCAGATTTGGACAACCATCTGTTGTCACGCCTGCCAGCTTGTCCCATTTCAGTCCTAACAGGTCCAAACACGCATTTACCTCTGAACAAGTCATTACCTGTGGTTGTCCCTTTAATTGGCTGCCAGCTCCTCCGTGATTTGAAAGTGCAGTTATCCCACGTAAGAAGATGAGCAGCTGGGCGGTGTCACGTACATCGCAGCTCTCATCCAAAGCCAGAGAAAAACAGTCAAAGTCGGCTGGTGATTTTGTGAGAAATGACGAAACTTGTCCTGACGGCTGCATCTCTGGGGGTGTGAAGTTTGGTAAAAAGTCCTTGTTGGGTTTGCAGTTTTACCATCAACGCATCAGCCTCCCTTGCGTGTTCTTCATCAGACAGATTCCGGTATTTATCCTCGTGCTTCGTCGTGTAGTGGCGATTCAAATTATACTCTTTAAACAGCAACCTGTGTACCACAAATTAAGCACACGGCTTTACCTTTAATTTCTGTAAAGAAATACTTGGCGGTCCATGTCTTGCTGAAAACACGGCATTCGTCATCACTTGTCGCCGTGCACCTTCACTCACAGGTTACGCACGGACTTACGTCCATAAATAACACTTTTCAAAATAAAAGCAGCACAGTTGTATTGCACCCTCGACATGGATATGTTTTTTATTTATGTTGTAATTTATGATTGGCCTCACGCGGGCCGGACAGGGACGCACAAAGGGCCGGATGTGGCCCGCGGGCCGTAAGATGCCCAGGTCTGTTGTGGCCATTCTATCTGCCCAGGGAGTTTCCATCTACTGTTGTGACTGCAGCTTATCCCCCCGGATGCTAAACTGGCAATGAAAGAACTGCATACTGCCATTAGCAAGCAACAGACTTTACATCCGGAGGCAGCCTTCATAGTTGCGGGTGACTTTAACCACTCCAACCCGAAGACTGTACTCCCCAAATTCCACCAACATGTCTCCTGCCGCGAGAGGAGACGCTGCTTTGGACAAGGTCTATACCAACATGGCTGATGCCTACATGGCAGCCCCCCTCCCACCTAGGACAGTCTGACCACCTCTCCTTGTGTCTTCTCCCTAAATACACACCACTCATCAAACGTGTGAAACCCACAGTGAGGACAGTTAAAGTGTGGCCAGAGGGAGCAGACTCTGCACTACAGCTTCGGTTCGAACACACGGACTGGAGTGTGTTTGCCACTCAGGCCACACTGGACTCCCACACGGACATTGACTCCTATGCCTCTTATGCCTCTCTGGGGGTCCTATGCCTCTTCCGTTCTGGACTTCATCAACACCAACATCGACCGTGTCACCAACATCGACCGTATCACCACACTTAAACGAATCACCACCTTCCCCAACCAGAAGCCATGGATGAACAAAGAGGTCCGCCTACTGCTGGAGGGTGGTGAGAACCGCCCAACGCATCACTGGTTCCTCACTCGCCACCATCGAGGCGTCCAGAGCAAGAGATGTCTGGATGGTGCAGCTCTCACCCCAGCCACAGACTGTTTGCCCTCCTCCCCCCTGGGAGGCGCTACAGGGTGCTCCGTTCCTGGACCAGCAGGTTCAGGAACAGCTTCATCCCTGCGGCTGTCACTCTACTGAACTCTGCCCCCCACCCCACCCCACACACATCTCCCTCAGTGACTGTACTCCCCCTCCACCCTGGCTTGACTGCCACACACCCTCCTCCAGCCACTGAACTGTCACGCACCAA